TACACGAAATGTAAGATTAACAAAGCTATTTTAAAATTAACCACCTAAAAAAAACCCCCAAATGTATTTTTCACGATTGAGAGACAAAAACCTTTTCAGCTCAGTACTTACCAGTTTAGAACTTAAACAATTAATTAGACATTAGCAATTTGTAAAAAAAAATTGTCTCACTTCGATATTATAGTTACAGTACATGTAAGTTTAAGCTGGTTTCTTTGTTTTAGCCGTAAGACTTACATGCATTGTACGCTGGCGGCTGGAGAGCTCTACACATGTCGCTTGGGTACTCGACGTACGCCGACGCAGCTTATTTTACAGTACGGGTATCTAGGCGTTTTAAAGATGTTAGATTCTCGTTTTAATTACCCTTTTTTGGTTCAGAATGTTACTGAGGGTATTACAAGACTACTCAAGCATCTGCTTCAGTGAATAACTTTGGTAGGATACACTTAAAAAAGAAACAACTATACCTCAGATCAAGCCATCCTTCAGTTATTAGTTAATTTGCTAGCGGACCCGACAAACGTAGTCCTGCATGATATTTCAAGCGATTAGGATATTAAACAAAGTATGAAAGTACAGACTGCAGCGCCATCTGCTTGGCTGGTTTGTAAATCTAAACCATTCAGGGCTCCACCCAAACGCATACAGAAAAAAATACAATATATACATATATGTAAGCTATCCTATCTTTTAGTTAGATCAAAATGCACACGGTGTGCAAATTTTTTTGAAATAGATTTAGTAGTTTAGGAGTCCATAGCGGACAAACAACTTGTCGCGTAATTTATATATATTAAGATTTTGTTACTTTTTTTTATGGCTCTGGCACGGTTTGTGCATTAGCCAGTAGTATTATAAGATTTTTATAATTCGTGCTTTTTGTCTTAGAAATTCGACCATGTCCTCCATGTACGGTTTAGGCACTCGCCCGGTACCGCACAACCCTCCCAAATGCCGAGAACAAATTTAAATTAAATTAAAACTTGCCTTCGAACCGGGAATCGAACCCGGGACTCACCTAGCTGCCACTTAATAAGACCGCTAGGCTATGAGGCCCCAATTTTGTTACTTACACTTGTTTCAGCATTATATTACGTACATACTAATATAGCATATTACTTTGGTATGTATTAAAGTTATCAAGGCCAATTCGGCCACTGCGTGAATTCTCTATTTCACGTCATGTATTAGGGATTGGAACCCGAGACCATGACATAGACTAATAAATCTGTCAAATACAGTAGTTAATATAAATATGTCACCAAGTTATGTCTAATATTGTTGCATTACCAATTATAGCGGCTCATCTTCGACCTAAATATAGGTTGTTTTTTTTTCGAGGAACATTAAGAATTTGCCGACAAATGTAATAAACTTCCAGACAAGACAAGGGAAAAATATTTATTCGTGTAATAAAGTGTCTCGACGTCGCGGAAATCGAAACATTAACATTATTACTCCCTTACTGGAAATGAACAAAGAATTCATGAGGATATTTCATCATAAAAAAACAATTTTGAAGTAATTGTTTGAATGAAACGTTCATTGATATTTAATGCCTACAAATATAAAACGTTTATTGTTTCGCCGCGAAAATGCAATACCTACGGGCTATACATACACATAATCCCTTGAGCCAAGACGGTGCTTTTAGACAATTATTATAATACAAGCACAAGTAATACCTAGATTAATGCTTTGAGTTGCGTGATGATACATTTAATTAAGACTGCTGTCTGATGGCAACGTGTATCTCGTTCGTATATAGTGGAATCTCGATAACTCAAACCTCGTTAAGTCGAAATCCTCAGTAAGTCGAAAAAAAATCCATTCCCTTCCGCTGAACCCCTAAATACGCGGTATCTCGAATTATTTAGACTTTGTAACTCGAACAAAATGTTATTTCCCTACGAAGTATTGATAATACATATTTATACTCTATAACTAGAAATTCAAAAAGGAGACTGTAAGTCGTACTTAGTAAAAATAATATCCAAATTGAATGTTCGGGTTCGGGGCTTCTAATATATTGTTTTCGTCTTGTACACGTGCAATGAATGAATACATTCAAAAAAAGTAAAAAAATATATACTACAAAACTTAAGCTGAATTGTTATTCAAATTCGACTCTACAAATAGAAAAATACACTTAGAAATCGAGCCTATGTAAGTCGAAATTTCAGCAATTCATATGTATCTCGAAGTTCTTGTTAAGTCGATTTTTTTACCGCTCCCTTGACATTCGAGTTATCGAGATTCCACTGCTCATGTAAAAAAATACATTTTTTGTAATGAGAAATAAAGTTCTTTAAAAATTATAAAAAAGATATTTATCAAGGCTAACTGTTATTATGTAATTACTGTAAGAAATGCCTCCTAACTTTATTATTAAGGAGACAGTGTGGCGCCATTAGTAGGTCAGGTACTTATTTACTAATTCAGAAGCATGTAACCTACTTAAACAGGGTTAGGATTGCTTTTTATACACGGAGAATTGCAGTAAGGGATTTTTGAACAGTTATGTTACTTATGGAAATTAATAAACAACGTGATCATTTGACGACTGTAGCATCTACTATGAATATGTACGTATATGTACGATCACGTACATACTAGGAATATGTACGTGATCATGAACGTCTTAATAGCGTGATTATTAATGGAAAATAATTTTAGTAAATTAGGTGCGACTATTAAATAGGCTTATCGCTAGATTGTAATGTTCATAGATTTGGGAGTCAAGAATCAATTCCATTTTCAAATAAAACTTGACCGTCTATACGAGGGTGATACGGCATTTCAAATTCAAATTCACCTCAATATAAATTAACTACGGGGATATCTCAGTTCACGCGAAGTCAAAGTAACATTATAACCTTAAGTCTTGCTAATAGTGCTTATGGTATGGTGTAGGATCGTGGATGCATTTCTATGGTCAATTACGTCTCAAACTTTAACATACGTATATATATATATGTAAACTATTTTTATTAAAAAAAAGTGCGTGCGTACAAAGTACACATGTAAGAAGTGAAATTTCTTTGGCAAACTAAGTTTTAACTCTTGCTCATATTTATACAAATCAAATTTTAGATTTCCGAGACTTAGAGGGAGGGGAAAAGGAAGATATGTTAGGAAATTAATGAATTTAACTGTCATTAAAATATTAACAGTGTCGAAAATTAATACAAATAATATAATTTTTATCGATAATAAAAACACGTGGCATTTTAATTTAAATTCGTCAATTGAGATTTCAAAAAAAATATTTTGCATAAAATATAATATACTAATATAATAAAATAAAATACTATATTTGAAATACTAATATTTCATAAATTCTCTTTACGAAATTTTAATTTTAAAAATAGAATTTCTATAAGGTTTAATTCACCCTTCTCACTCTCTCTCAATCGGTCTCAATCGCTTTCTCTCTTTTCTTTGACAAAAACCCTGCACATCTTCGTGACGTTCCGTAAAAAAATTACCCTCGCCTAAAGAAGTTCCACTTCAAAAATATTTAATTTGCGAAAGAAGTCAAGATCATCTAGAACACGTACCAAAACTCTCCATATAAATAAAGTTTTTTAAATAAACCAACAAAGGATTTTTTATATTCAAATTGAAAAATAGTCCAGGTAATTGGGGCTTAACTGAAACAAATCGGTCCCGGCCACGTGAACTGCAAGTCTCATAAATTCAAATTGACACTAACTGGCTTATGTGTACCGAACTGCCAACGCATTTGGGGTCCCCTATGTGGCCAGAAACGTGTAACTTCGGTCTATAACTACGACAGGGACAGTACTTCTGAATGCAAATTTAATTAATATCAAGAATATATTTTGTAGCAGTCTTGGCCTAGGCTTCAGCGTACGACTCTCATCCCTGAGGTCGTAGGTTCGTGCCCCAGCTGTGCACCAGTGGACTTTATGTCTATGTGCGCTTCTAACACACGCTTACGGGGAAGGATAACATCGTGAGGAAACCGGCACTAAAAAGCGCATCCCAGGAGCTCTCAATCTTCAACATCAAAGAGTTCTCAATCCATATCTATTTAAATAAAATTACAATACTTAATTATTTATTATAAATCATTACCAAAGACAATATAGAAAGGATTGAACTGAATCATCTATATAGTATTTGGTAATACGTAGGTACATTAATTTCCACAGATAATAGTCGAACGATATCAGTCTGTTATAGTGTTATATAGTCTGCACACGAAGTCCGCTTTAATCCAATGATTCGATGGCCGAAATTCTCTCGCCTTAAGCTTATCAATTTGACCTTGTAATCGACCATTAGACGATATTATAATCAAATACCACCATCGTAGTAAAATCGACAATATCCGCGTCACTTCCATCAGACCCCTACGTCCTTTTGTCATGGTTAGTTGCTCCCAACTATTATGGTAATAGTTGTTATTAATCGCAACTGCCTGTTCGTTCTATAAATATAACTATTATCGATAGTTGAAAATATAATGTCGAGTTATTTGAGGTAACCCAAGGAGATACATTTGTGTATTGATATTTTTATGGCGAAGTAGATCAGGTTTCTGTTACTCAGTATACTATATTCTATTCCCAAGAATTGATTCCAGGATGCGACAGGACATGCAGATATGTTAGCCTCAAACACATGAAGACTTTTAATCACTAAATGTTACATGTAATGATCAAACAAAATTTTTATAACAAAATAAAAAAATTACAATGAATTTCGAATATTTTATACCTACTAAACGAAACTTATGATTACGACCACGGGAAACTCTTTTGTTTGGCTTTTTGTAGTTCAATTTTGCTGAAGAGTTGATGTCCGGTCGCATCGTGCCTGCAATAATGTTAGTAGAAAATTGCACTGGGAATTATCGAATTAGATCCCCTGCTCGTATCAAGAACAATTCAGTGTTGGGAGTGCGTTTGCGCCGACCGGGATCACAAAACAGTTTGAAGTTATTAAGATAATGATAGTTTAGTGTTATGATGAAGATCACGGAGTCGGTGGCTAATGGAGATGAGGTGGATGTGATAAGGAGGTAGGAAGCTTTTAAGCTATTTTTTATATTAGAATTTAGAAAGAACGGAATCAACTTCTTCAAATTGCATCCCGCAATCTGTACGTCATTTCATTTATAATTGTTTAGTCAAGCCACATTTGATATATCTAATTGAAATATGGGGTACAGCATGCAAAAACAAAATTTATATCACTATCAAATTTGTAACACTACAAAATAAATTAAAAAGCCACTGTTAGGATAATTTTTTTTAACACAGACTAATAAAATCTACTAAGAAACTAAAATTTTGACGATTAAACAACTATATGTTTACAGCACCTGTATCTTAATTAAATAACTCTCTCCATAGTAGCTTATCATTTAAACAAATCAAACACACCACTACACGCAATCAATTACCGTCTTAAATTCGTAATATTAGCGCGTTTAACCAATTCAAAAGGGCATTAAAGATATATCAGAATGAGCCTAGTAGACTAAAATTGAGACGGCTGATGGCGACGTGTACCTCGTTCGTATACATTAAGTTTCTCATGTAAATAAATATAAAAATACATTTTTTGTTATGAGAAATAAAGTTCTTTAAACATTAAACATTTTTTGTATTACAATATAATACTTGTTTAAATAGAATTAACATTGGTATTTTTCGAATGACAAGAAACGGTTTGCTGAGCTTTTGTCCAAAGACTGAAAGACTTTATTATCCATTGATACTTATTACACATGTAATGGAATCACATTTCATTAATATGAATTTGGCGCGCTTCGCGCTTGCATAAGTTGTCTGTGGAGGTTGGGAGGCGACGCATCGTAGTGACATGCGATGGAATGGCGGATGACATGGAGGTGATTTTTGGGTGGTGATAAAAAACTTGGAGAGTAAAAAGAGGAGATAATTGAGTGAATGTAAATGTCGTTACTTTGTACTTTACAGAGAAACAATTTGTGTTATTTTTTGTTAAAATTCTCAATAATATATCTTATACACATATTTACAAGGTGAAAAAATAGATAGAGGTGTATACAAAAATGTTAATGCATTGCTTATCGTTTCTTTATTTCGTATTTGTGTAATAATTCAGTGTGTGAAAACCCTATAAATTTTGTAGAACTTATATTTGAGTGAACATAACATTGATTATTTTTCTGACCCAAATATCGACCAATAGAATTGCACCATTCGACGTCACGTGGTACAACCTACATGGTATTATACTGATAATTTTTTGAAAATTTTCTCTGGTAGTTGCTTCAAGAAAAGAATTAAGTAGTTGTTTTATTCATTATGAAATTCTTATTTGTTAACTGTACATTTCATCTCATGGTGCAATTCTATTGGCCGACATTTGGGTCGGAAAAATAATCCCCCGAATACCACACGAGCTTCAAAATTATCTGGCATACCCGAAATACCCGATAATTTTGAAGCTCTTGTGGTATTATAAGTGACAATTTGAGTTAAAAAGGAAGGACAGAAGTGAAACTATTGAAGCTTGTCCCTCGCCCTACTTCCCGGCAAGGTATCAATGTTATTAAACAAGTCGTCCTTAATCCCCGAGGTCATTGACCATTTACAAAGATGCTAAGTGACAGGGGTGGCCCAGCGATTAAATTTAAAATGCACCAAAATGTGGCAACACAACACCTGTTCCATTAAAATGCACTCAAGCAGACAGATATAAAGTCATTTTTTGTTTGCGACACCCCTAACGTATTAATGTGTCATTTATATTCAAGTTTCATAAGCCATTTTGTTAAGCTAAATTTTATATGTCCCTTAAGTAGGGATGCCCTTCAAATAAATCTCAGGGAAAGGGTCAAAAGAGTTGTTTTGTGGTTGGCATGGAATTAAAAATCTAAGGTTAAAACGTTAAACTTTCATACACCGTAAAAAATATAACTATGGAGGTATGAAAAATAATTTGTTAACCCCAAGTTTGGGTAGACGCTGAATAATCAAACAAAGGACGAATTAAATTACATAATGGAAATTGGAAAAACGAGGAATCTTTGATTTACTTTCGCTTTTAGCCGGAGTAAAATAACACTCAAAGCCTTTTAGAATTTTTCTCTGCTGGAACGTTCAAGTACAATGACTACGTTCAACGTAAAAGCCAGTTACTACAGACGCTCATTGATCACCGGGCGGGCGGCTATGCTCTAACGAAAGGGAACGCTACGAAACCTACGCTTATTCCGACCTAACATGCAACGGATATAAACAAAAATGCATGCATTGAAAACTACACTGTAATTCCTTGGAAATACGGTCAATATTCTTTGAACGTTATCCACACATAGGCTCCTATTGGGTGGCCACTTTCGCTATATCAAATATTATCTAGCACGTATCTAGTAGTATTCGTTACGGCGAGGTAAGATTAGTGAGGTTTAGGTAGGGTAAGCTCTTCGTGCGAACGGATTCATTTGTTCGCATTACGAGGTTTTATGAACTACGAAGAAAGTGTATAACATTTTTATGTTTAAAAAGTTAAATGACGATGTGAAGGGTTAGAGGACTTGCTTTTTCTACTTTGTACGAATAGAGACACGTTTTACTGGAGTGTTGTCTATGTTAAAGCACTATGTAGACTTTAAATAATGCATACAACGTTCATAAGATGTCTTCAAAAAAGATAGTTAAACGTATAGTTTTTTTAAGGCAACGGTTTTTATAAGCCATATGTACCACGAATACATATTATAAACCGCAGTTAAAAAAGCCATACAGTTTTGGTTTCTTTGTTTGGTGGCTAATACTTTACTTTAGTGTGAATTTTAACGAAATCGTGCCTTCCGTAATTTTATCCTTATTACGACCAAACTCTTAAGGATTCTTATCCTTTTATAATACATGTCTATTTAAAGTACCGTTCATTAAACGATACTTGAAGTGGAGACACGCTTCTCGGTTTGTTGATTTTTTTCGAAGCAAAAACTCCTTTCTTGACTGAAATTTAAAAAATTAGCGCTTTAATCGAAAGTAGGTATTGCAACTTTTGTCATTATAATAATTTATGTATGTAACTCAACATTAAATTTTCCGATAGGTTATTTACCACGATACCGTTTAACCGAACTTGATTAAAATAAACGTAGCATGTAATCCACGTAAACCATTTACGCGGGAAACGAGAAAGGAAATCAGACGCGGCCATATTGAATGCGGAAATGGCTTGCCTATCTTGTCTGGTTTTTCGTCTGCGATTTAAATAAACAAACAGACGTTAGCTGCTGGTGTGGTCTTTTGTAATATAAATATCAAATATAGAAAATATTTAACAAGAACATCGATATTAAATTTAATTGACTAAATAAATATTTTTTATTTAGGTACAACTTAATATTATCTGTAATACTGAATCTATGGTTAAAAACACAGATACTAGGCATTTCATACACGTTAAAGAAACTGAGAAGATTCGTACAACATGAGATTTTAATTTATTATTCAGTGCGTTAATAAAGTGTGTATGAGAGCATTTTTTCTTTTTAGGTATTTTCGCTTTTCTGTTGACCTCATCTAGTTCATTACATTCATAAACTCATGTTCTACATTTTTAAACTAAAAATAAGAGTCTATTATAAAGGTAGGTTTACATTTATGTATAGCTAAGTAAATGCTGCTTATTTTTAAGACCGCACTGAGTGTAGCATTATTTCTAAGAAATAAGAATTTAAAAAGAAAATTTATCGAGCTCAAGCCACTAATCAAATGAAAACGTAGACATTTTATGACACCATGCAAGTTATTGCTTAGACATAAATCGGAAAGAACATTCTTTAGATGAACTGCTGAATAGTTTTCTAATCCATTGCAAATTCCTTTTATTTTGTCATAATTACTATAATTTTAGTCTTTCAAAATTTAAATTATGAGAACTGTCTAGGTAATACTTATTTGTATTCACTTGTCTTCCATAGACAATGGAAAACTGACTCATGGAAGTACTAACTTTATTGATTTAAAAAAACTCTTACTATTGTCAAAAATTATTTCTTAAACATGATAACTACTCTCTAGGTTATCCTTATTTGTATTCACTTATCTTTCGCAGACGATGGAAAACTAACTGAAGGAAGTAGTAACTTGGATTTAACTATGGATTCAAAAAAAAATCTTTGACACACCTAGTATTAGGCTATAACCATGTTGGTTTTTCATAATGTACACCTAATAGTTACAGTACAGCAGATGTTTTCAACTAAAAACTTTTAACGCAAAATCGGGAAGCTAATTAATCACGTTTCTGGAGCGGAAAAATTTCCCCACTAAGGAAGCAAGTACCATAATCAAACACTTGTGCACAAAATGTTTGTTGTAGGTACTCGTCACGACCTGGATACAGTTATCATAATTACGTGTTACTCTATCATTATATTTTTACATTGTGTTTCATAATTATATTATTACGATGAACAGAACTATAGATTCAAAATTTTAATAATAAATTTGGAAAGGTATATTTTTATTATATAATAGAATTTTGCGAATCATATCCACACGGTATGGATAACCAATTATTATACATTTATTTGTAAGCACAATATGTGTTTAATTCATGTTGAAGATACATTAATTATAGATTTTGTGGGTGAAATAACCAATAAAAACTATAATAACCAAATTTTTAATATGTCCTCTAGACGATAACAGCTTCGTTGCGCTTTGCCGTCTCTGTGACTTATTTCAATTGTTACTTATCTGTGGTAGCGCACACCAGCGCATTCGCGGTGTTGTGCTGAGTTTTGGCGGGAAAACTAGAATTGTTTGTCAGTTGTCAATTACGCTAAATTCTTTTGTCACATGAGATTACGGAATTTTGTAGAAAAAAATATACGTAAGCCAAGGCGATCTAAACCTGACTAGAAGACGAATAATGATAAAAAATTGTTTTGGTGGTTGGCGCCATTCATGCGTCTTATAACAAAATAGGAATTTAAAGAAAAACGCTTTTTACCGGATTAAAGTTATGTTTATTATTATAAATTTACAACTATTTGACATAATTTTAAATTTATCCGACGTTTCGCGTGCTTTACAGCGTGCGTGGTCACGGTGACTGAAGACAAAAGATGTTGAATGTCAAAAAGTATCACAGCTGCAGAGAAAGTTGCATTATCTGTATTTATTTCCCCGGAGTTGGTATCGACTAAAAGATGGAGGGTTTTGGCAAAAATGGCTCACGGTGTCCTCTATTTTCGCGGATTGTTTTTCTTTTTGAGATTTTAATTTGGATATTATTGGATCCCAGGTGTTTGACAATTTTAGGCCGTCTTCTCTATTGAAATTGGGGTGTTTTTTGATTTCAATGGCTTCGCGTACCAATCTTGGGAAGAATCTTTTCTCTTTCGCAAGTACTTTCGGTTGGTCAAAGCGTATGTAGTGATTAGGCCTATCTAGTATGTGTTCACAGACTGCTGATTTTGTGTGTCGTCTATGTCTTATGTCTGCAATGTGTTCTTTGAGTCTGCTGGACATATTGCGTTTAGTTTGCCCTATGTAAGACAGGCCACAGTCGCAATCCAGTTTGTATATACCTGCATCTTGCAATTGTAAATTTATAATAATAAACATAACTTTAATCCGGTAAAAAGCGTTTTTCTTTAAATGTGTAAAGGTTATGTTAATCAAAGACAATACTAAAATAGGAATTTGTACTGAACTCCGTGTGGGACTTTTACTTAAAAAATACTTCATAATATGTATTTTGATTGTAGCCTCGACTATTACTAGTTCAACTCAAATATAATGTAAGGTACCTACGTAGAATAGATTAAATACAAATTTAAAAACGAGTGCAAGAGTAGTATTAGCAGATTCAACCTCAAAACTAATAATCTCTAGTGATTGTCTCATGCAAGACAATTTATAAAAAAAGTAGTTTTTTTTATTATTTAGAGTATTTTAAATCTAATATATTTTTAAATATAGCAAAAGCTCAAGTAGTAGTAAGATTGTACTGTGCTATGATTTTTATCGTTATCTTTGAAGGTGCCTCAGGTATAGTATGAGTTTAGCGGCAGACAGGCTCTAGCGGTAAGCCGACCTCCATCTACAATTTAGATTCTAAATCCTCTCCCGCGTTGACACTTTATCTCAGTGAATATTCAATGTAGAGAATTAATTCAAAGTGCAATTGAGGCTTAAGTAAACACGAATTTTAAATTACGAATTCCTAATAAAATCTTTATATTTTTATAAAGAATTACTCAAATGATGTTAATGTTATTTAGGTACGTAAAAATGTAAAGAGCAGTGTTGACCTAGTGGCTTCAGCGTGCGACTCTCATCCCTGAGGTCGTAGGTTCGATCCCCGGCTGTGCACAAATGGACTTTCTTTCTATGTGCGCATTTAACATTCGCTCGAACGGTGTAGGAAAACATCGTGAGGAAACCGACATGTCTTAGACCCAAAAAGTCGACGGCGTGTGTCAGGCACAGGAGGCTGATCACCTACTTGCCTATTAGATTGAAAATGTGAAACAGATTCATAAATCTGAGGCCCAGACCTAAAGAGGTTTTAGCGCCACTGATTATTATTATTATTAAAAATGTAAAGAAATATTGTGTATCTTCGACTAGATTAGATTTTTTTAATTAAAATATAAATAGTTAATAGCTTTAACAACGTCATTTTTATCCTACAGTTTGCGAATAACAAACCCTTATATCACATGACGTCAGCGTGAAACCGACGTAATTCTCTGGAAGTATCCCATATCGACAATTACTTGCAGAAAACTCGGCAGCGGAATAATATATTTACATAATAAATGGTGGAGTTAGTAGACCCCTCATCCCTAAAAACAATTCAGCCAAAACGTCTACATTTTGTACAATATGTTTCAGTATTCATATTGGTGATAGAACCAAAACTAATAAAAATTTTGAAACACTAGACCTTTTCGTAATTCGAATAATACATAATTTAAAAACAAAAGAAGTTTAAAATAGTGTGGTAGGAAACATGAACTAGAAATTGATCTTCTGTACACTAGGACGTTGAATAAATTTAAGACTTATATACTGGGACCGTGAAATAAAATTATATCCCCCGTAATAAAGTTATTAAATATTAATTTTAATCTCTAGAATGTATACAACACTTTTGTATAAACCACGTTCTTTGCACAAGTTTTTAAATGGATTCTATCAGTAAATTAAACAGTTTGAAACCTATCGTTGGCGAACGTACTTTAGTTTGATAGGTTTTCGTCTTAACAAAACTTATTTTCAGACGATCAAGACGGAATTTTCTCATTACAATAGTAGGTGGAATTTTTAATGAGTAACTCAAGACTTTTAACGAAGAGCTTGGTTACATGTGGTAATTAATCCTCAAAGTTATACTAGTTTTACTTTTACTCTTAGGATCGAAGAAGTATTTGACTTTTAAAAGATTCATTCACACCTTCAGAATCAATTGAGATTGACATTAATTTAATACATTTTACTGTTTTCTTATTCTCGTGGGAATTGTTTCTTTGTAATATGACGGGTAGGATCTGATGTTCAGTGATATCGCCGCCCATGGACACTCAAATTTCCAGAAGGCTCGCAAGTGCGTCGGCCTTTGATTCCGGGATTTAGAACCGAGACTAAGCAAAACCGTTACTCCCGTATATAATGGATTTTTATGTACTATTCTAAATTTTACCATAAAATACTCTTGAAATTGCTTATAGTTTCTACCCGAAACTCGATGGTTAAGCCTGCTTAGGCACTGGAGACTACTTTATCGATTTGTTGAATTATGACAAAAATAGATTACTTTATATTGATTGAAATAGAAAGTCAAATCCATATCTGTTTAAGAATCATAACGCTATTATTTTCTTGAAGTTTAAAGAACTGTTCTTTTCAGCTGCTTCTCAATACCCGCGAACAACATGTCTGGCGGCTCCCACGTCTCAAGAGGGACATTTGGAGACTCGGAGATGTCTGGAAGCAGTGCCCCGCCTCTTCCCAGTCCGGCGTCTGCAAGTGCCGCCCTGGTGTCTCCAGAGACCCTCAGCAGACATAGCAGTCCACCACCTATACCAGCTCATCCTTCATGCCAGCCAGCACCGTCGTGTTCTTCTCATCATGTTCATATAGAATCGCCTTTAAGGTTTGTGTTGTTGTACATAATGAGAAACGTGTACGTATACGTATATATACGTATTAGATATGTTGATCGCTCGTGTAAAATAAAGGAACTGCTATATAATAAAACTAGCGACCGCCCTGACTTCGCACGGTGCAATGCTGATACTAAATTCAAAGTGCTATAGGGAGAACCGCGGCCTCCGAAAATATTCATTTAAATCATATTCTGTAAAGAGCCATATAGATCTATATTATATCAACAATGTATTTAAGGTATTTAATTGGATAAGGATTAATGCTGTATTGGTTAAAATCGCTTCGAAAACTAGCCATTATTTGTCGTAAAAAGTAAATACAAAAAAATTTTATTGTGGGATATCCATAAGAGATAGACATATACCATCGCGGAGTTTTCTGTAGACCTTTTCAATGTGTACAATACTTAGTACACTATTTTGATAAATCTCGTAGGGTTCAGCTTGCGTTTGCAATGTAAGCGGAAAAAATGTAATTATTTACGACATAACAGAAACCTCAAAAATAATGGTATTTCTCCACAATTTAATGGATTTTATTATACATATAAACCTTCCTCTTTAATCACTCTTTCTATTAAAAAAATCGCATCAAAACCCGTTGCAGTTTTAAAGATTTAAGCATACATAGGGATAGGGGAAAAGCCGGATAGTTGCCCCACTTTTCGAAAAAGCTTTATATTTTTTAAATATGAACTTGCTGAAAATTATTTAGTATGCATCTCGCAACATTGGTCTTTTATCTTCTATAAAAGCCTATTTTTGTATACATAATAAACAATGGTTTTGAATAAATACTGTTTTATTTCACCTCTCAGAAAAGGGATAGTTGCCTACTATGGGCGGATAGTAGCCTAGCGTAGAAAATGCTTGGGGGGATACTTGCCCTGTGCGTTTTTATTTTGGATAGAAATAAATTTATATCAATTAGAGTAATCTTTATTATTTATTTAACAGTCTTTATAATTTACTGAGATATTTTATTAAGTACAATTTGAAATATTAAGAAACAACAGTAATTTTTCTCCTTTTTCACCGGAAGTAACTGATTTAACTGCTTTAGCACCTTTCTTAGCTAATACTTTACGAATTTTATTATTGAGTTGGACACCGCTTTCATCCATGTTAAATATTTTATCTGGCATATCCAGAAAATTATTCTCAGTTAAAATAGTTTCAAGAGTTTGAAAAAATTTGCAACTTCTGTTTGTTGAGACCCTTCGCTCTTTCAATTGATAAACCCTCAGCTTGTCTCAAATTATATCAGGATTTTAGCCATTGAGGTCCAGCCATTTTACTCTCATTAATAAAGTTGTGCTTTAATCCCAACTTTGTCTCAATTTTGAAGCACGTGTTAAGCTATCTTCTGTTGATGAGGATTTTCTTACCTATAATAAATATATAAAACTGTAAGTAGATATATATTTAATTTACAACAAGTTAGAACAAAGTAAATTCGAATAAACACCAAAAAAACAGCAAAAATAAAATCTTTGTTGTTAAGAAATGTTTAGTCACTCTAGGGGCAACTATCCGCGACAGTAAGCAGGGCGACTATCCTTTTTGATGCGGATACTTGCCCTTTCCCCTTTTATTTGCGAAATAAATAAAAATTATTTAGCAATAAAACATGATAAACAGTGTAATTTAAACTCTAATGCATGCAAAGAAACAAAAAGTTGACTGAAACCACGATCAGTAATAAAAATATTCAATAGAAATTACTTACCAATATAAATATAACGCCCGTCAAAGTTTCCGGGGCGCGGAAATTTTTGCTTACAGGTACAAAACACTTGGGCCTATTCGATGGCTTACGTGGCATTTAGGCCTGAAGGGCATCACTACTTTTGTAGTAAAGCGCCAATACAAATTATAATCTTAACATAGTTTTTTAAACACCGGGGCATGTATCCCACCGAGGCAACTATCCGGCTTTTACCCTATAGGGACAGAGGAAGCGACTTGGTCTCCTGTCAACTGACTTATTATTTTCTTATGTAGCCAAGTCCACATTTCAAGGATCGTCACTCGCTTAAATGTCATTGCTTGTGTCGGCGTCCATGCGTCGGGTTGTCTCTCTCCCTAAAATATGGCGAGGGGGCCGATGGCTGGCCATGCGTCATACTCGTGAACGGGTGCTACTTGTGGTGACTGGTCGTACTTGAATTCGTTTATGCGGTGATGTTCATTATTTCGACTATGTGTTTGCGTGTTGTTCCGACGAGACTGTAAGAGCGTGCTCCTATTGCACCATGGCTCCTGCTGATAGAGGACAACTCTTTGTTTTTAATTTATGTTATTATTATTAATTACTTAAGATGTCATGTGGAACATGGTTTAATGGTTGCAGCTCCTTACAAACGTTGTGTAAAAAAAAATAGCGATTAAAAAGAGTGGCGGAGAGTTTATTGCCAGTTCTTCTCTTCCGTTCTACGCCCTTGATTTGAGAACTGGCACTAAATGTAAAATCATTATATGTATTTCTTTACTGACAAGTCATAAGTGTACAATGTGTTACCCATATGATTAAATGATTTTTAAATTTTGAATTTTTTGACTGTCACTATCACACAAACTTACGAAAGTTTATATTTCACTATAACAAGGCACAATATAGACTGAACACAAGCACAAAGAACGAGTGTCGTTTGAAGTATTAGAATATGATACTCGATGAGATTAGTATCGAAATATAGAGTTTCAACAATATCCAGACAGGATAGGAAATGGCTGGCTATAAATTACAGGAGTAGTCTAGCTTTCAAACCTATACAGCGCGGTCATTTTAATGGATTCATAAATCGATGCCTGCACATTTGTTTGCTTATTTCGTTAAAACTTTATAAATTTAATTTCCTTTTAACAAAGCTATATATTGCGATTTATTATATTACCATAATATTCTAGTAGTGCTGTTTCCGTATGTTTTTTCTAGTTTCTAGTTTCACTGGAAATAATCATCTGAACATAAATATCGTATCAATGTATATATAAGTACATTATGTACATATTACAAACATTCACTATAGTACATAATTTAGAATTTTATATAAGAGTCAATAATTTAATTTTGTCGTCAAAGCGAGCCGGTAATAGTCTCTTGAAATAAAATGCAAAGAAATACGCCGTCAAGCTAACCTGAAAGGACTTTAATAAGGAATCAGTATTTGAAAGCAAATTTCTCTTTTGAAAATGAATATCTACTGCACATACCTGAATGGACGCAAATTGAGAATTTCAGAGAGATTCTGTAAGGATTTCTAAATAGTTTATTTTATTATTAGTTATAGATTTGTTTGTATTGGTAGGTTTATAAATGGAGCTTTCATAGAGTATTTTAAAGCAAGTGAGCTTTAATCATATGAAGAGAGATTTCTCGTCTCTACGTCATTGTATGAGGTATAAAGTGTATAGTTAAAATGGAGTTCATTTTTGAGCTACTATACAATTCATATTAGCTTTTTTAAAATGATTGATATATGTTTTAACAGTTTTTATCTAATATATATAGCTCATCAAACTCGAAAGTAATAAAAGTGTTAATAAATTTCTTTCCCGTGGCACTCCAATGGAGAGCGATTTTGTGTCAGAGATTTATGAACAGTGTGTCGTAAATTCAATGTAGGACTTAGTGGAGCGGTCTGTGGTCTGGCTATTGGCTTTTATTTGACGCGTAGTTTTGAGATGGCTTGAGTCTATTAATGAGATGGTCTGAGACTATTAAGTAATATTTAACGCAAAACAGCTCCATTATTTGATTAGTTTGAAATGCATTATCCGCGAAAAGGGACAGAAACATTTCGCGTTTGTTTCATGTGAAATCCTCGGACCGCTCACTGCTATGGCATGGAAAGCTATTGTTATGAAAAAGTATATAAAAATATCTTACCAATGAATGCATAATTGAACACGGAGAGCGCCTCCTCTCCCATTAATGTGGTCGTAGCATATAAGTTCAAATTCAAAATCATTTATTTATTTAGTCAACACAATTTACACTTATGAAAGTCAATTAAAAACATATTAACTTCTAAATGCTGCTTTACATTTACTGCTAGTTCTCAAATCAAGAACGGACGAGAAGAACTGGCAATAAACTCTCCGCCACTCTTTTTAATCGCCAAGTTTTTGTTTTACACGATCTTTGTAAGGAGCTGCAACCATTACAACATGTTACACATGTCATCTTAAGTAATTAATAGTAAAAAAATATGAAAAACAAAGATTTGTCCTCTATCAGCAGTAGGCATGGTGAAATACGCACTTTCATTCTCGTGGGAACAACACGCTAATACATAGTCGAAACATCACTGCATACACGAATTCAAGTCCGACCAGTCACCACAAGTAGCACCCGTTCACGAGTGTGAAGTCAAAATATAATAATTGATTTTTTTTAAACGAACCAGTAGTTCCTGAGACAAGTGCGCTCAACCAAACAATTTAGAAATAATATAATTATAATATAAATCTAAATACTATATAATTTATTAATGCAGGTTGCCAAGTCCACCATCTCTCGGTACTTCACTATCGCTGCAGCCAGTGTTGTATGGGCAATCAGATGGCGGGTCACCGCGACCGCCGCTGCCACCCGCCCGGCGACCCTCTCGCCCCGCTAACGCTATACCTAGTATGCATATAATTAGCGCGTAAGTATATAATATTTGTTCCTATATAGTATAAGTAGAAAGCGATTTATAAACGTATACTCTAAACTTAACGTAAACTCTAACAAAATTAGTGATCTAATAATAATAATCTTCCTGGACAGGCCTGTCCTCCAATCATCTCACTTAACATCAGGTAGGATTGTGGCCAATCGTCGGTCTAATTCTGTATAAAAAAATATAAGAAAAAATCCTGGTGGATATCATGTATACTAATATTAAAAACTGTAGCATAAACTCCTGGACTGATTCAGAAATTCTTTAATATAATTAGAATTCTATATTATCTATGAATTGCGGCCCGTTTATTTCCAATCTTTACAAATGTTAACATACAGTTTAAATGTGTTTTTTTTCTTGTTACTCGTTATCCTAACTTCCTTCCATGCTATTGATCGGAATTCTTTCTCTCTTCGGATCGGAACTCCGCCAGCTTTTTTTCAGATTACTCTATCCATGGCTTAATTCTTCTTAACGCTTCCAACTAACGCTTTTATGTTTTCTATCCACCTTTTTCTAGTCTGTTCTCCTTTTTCTCTTGGTATGAATAATAAATTTAAAAAATATCAAAGTGTACGAGAGAGAGAGTGTACGAGTGGGACATTCTCCTATTCTAATATAATTTATCTTTATTAAAGAACGCTTTATAACTTCGCTTTATTTAATACGTACGTAGCTTGCAAATACATAGTATGTATTTTTATAATAGTTTGCAAGAACAGCGTGCTATAAATGCATGCAATGCACTCATGTGTTACTGATATAATATAAAAACTTTATAAGGTCCATATTATAAATTTTTCTCTATAATAGACTCATTAATGTGTGATTTCTAAAAGGGAAATCATAAATTTCTCCTTGATAAATTAGATAAAATTTAATTAAAACTTATTGAATAGTGTCGTATCCAAAACTTTATTTGCAAATCCCTCGGTGCTACGGTTGGCTGATTTTGGCTATCTGCCAAATAACTCTAAGTTTTCACGTAACTTTCACTATTAGTATTTTTAGAAATGGCTAGACTTAAAAAAAATAACGGATATAAAATAATTGATTGCTCTTTTTGAACGCTGGCCACGATGATGAAAAAATACCTTTTATTGAAATAAGTTTAAGTGAAAGCTTTAATACTTGTGAAAATCTAAAACAATATTAGGTACACTGTAAATAAGGAAAAAGAAACAAGTAACAAGTTGTCAAAGAAAACATAATGAGGAAATAAGAAAATTACCAAACCATAAGTTTTAATGGCCGGAAAAACTTTGGCAAAAATTCTTTGAGGATAAATTGTCAAATGAAAAAAATTACTTCAAACAAAACTGTTTACCAAAGGACGCGTAAAACCATTTATTCAAATGCGACACTCGCGTAAAACCGCTCTCAAAATATTAAATCTAAAGTTTTCGCTTTATAAAACAAGAATCCAGTCAATGCGGGACAAATAGGAATGTTCCTTTATTAAAAAAAAATACTCCATGTCCCCTGTCCTAAACATAGGTAGAGGTAGAGGTTTGCAGTTGAGATAAGTTTATTTTATGGACCATATATCGTGGTTCCATGATTGATTTTTGCCCCGTTTAGTTTGGTTTACGTGCCTTACTTTAAGTCCCGACGATATGATAGTTGTTTAGGGTTTTTAAAACACATTTAGCAAACTAATCAGCGGATTACCTTAAGGCCTGTATTCACTTTGATTAGTGCGAGTGCAAGTGATTAGTAATTGACATTGATTAGTGCAAGTAGTGTCCAATTATTGTTTATTGGCTTTGTTAAGTAAATTCAGTTGTCATATAGTTTGGCAGGCACAATGCGAGTGATGGGGAAGGGAGGGCGCACGCGACGTCACTACTCGCAGTTCACTCGCAAAAAAATAGAACACGCTTCTAATCACTTTACTACGCAGCCAACTAATCACCTGCACTAATCAGTCGCTGTCCTCACTTGTTTTCTCCTAATCACTAATCACCTGCACTAATCACTAATGAAAGTGAATACAGGCCTTTAATAAAAGTTCAATAAAGATGCACGTTTACATTGTTCAGGCATTGAGTTATGGGGCAGAGACGTTTGCCCCATAACTCATTGCGTGAGTTACGGGCTGATTGCAAGCCAAAAATTCAAACAAGAATAAAAAGTTATATTTAAAGTATTTTTAGAATGCAACGTTTTTATTATTAACTTAATGTGAATGATGTATTGTTGTACTTTAAAATAGTATGTGTACTAACTGAGTATTTAACTGCTAAAACGGGACCTTTCACTATCTACTCTAAAACCAGTTATTTAAACTTACCTGTCAAATAAAACAAAACCTTTTTTTTCTTATTGTGCACAGTAGGTTGTGAAAGCAAGACCTCAGGCTTTAAAATCGCATCATTTATCATTAAGTACACCTGTCACCAAAACCAAGCTGCCTCTATGAGGACAACAATATGTCTACCTATGTTTTTATTTATTACTGAAGTGGAACCGCAAATATGCGATCGCAATTCCCGAACCATCAAATGAACCCTCATAAAACTTTATGCTTACTAAAACTTCCGAATTCCATCATACATTTACATGTTGATCTTCGAGGTAATAAAGTTGATATTACTTGCTCTTCTGAGTTATAACGGTGATAATTCTTTGAGAATAAAATATTACTAACAGAACGTATGTGGGCAATTATGACTATTATACTGGTTTCTCGGTCAGAGGATGTTTGTAAATAAAAAATATATTTATTTATTGTGTAATTATATATTTTTTTTGTAAAAACCTTACAATATTTTCTTTTTTGTAAAATTCAAACATTCTTCGTATGTTCTTTGTTTTAAAAAAGTCAATAATAATCCAACAAAAAATAAAATTAATTCAATTAAAATTGTGCCTATACTTAAAATTCTAAATAATATAGAAAAAAAATACATTATGTACCTACACACACGCATTGCACAGATTGAGGGACATTTATTTACTATGCTTTTACCATTAATTGCAGATATTAAGTAATAGAACCACAAGATAAAAGTAAAATAATTATACTTGTGTTGTAGAGATATAATAGTTGTCATTGCCACTGATTTTAAAAGTTAAGTTTAATAAAAATAAAGTTAAACGTTTAGTTTATTCATATTTTAAGTTGTATAAATGTCCCTTTCCACGTATCATAAAACTGCCTTGCTGAGTGTATAAAATGTGACGCCCGACGAATAAGGGAAATTGTAAGAAAACATAAAAGCTTACAAAAGAGTCTCGCGCACCCTCTACGAAGGGTCAAGGGGAACACATAGATACGTATAATCCCACCTACACTTTGATAAATTATTCTTGTAATATATTTCTGTCTTTAGTCATCTATGTTCTCGAACCAATATAGCCAGTTGATACAACTTTGTCTATAAGATGCGAAGATTATTCGTATCTAATCAATCACGCAATCACGCTAGAATGCTGAGACGGATCGGGATGAAAATCTTACAATCTTAAATGCAATCTTGCGTAGAACAAAGATTATGTTGACATCTAATAATAGGACCAACTAGCAGACAAAAGCTGACAAAATATTTTTTGTTTTTAGGCTATTAAAATAATATTGTCTGTCGTTAAGACACACAATTATTTTTGTATTAAAAATTATTCAAATACAGCTTATTACACATATTATTGTTCTCTATCAGTCGCATTCTTCATTTTTGAAGATCGTGTTACTGCGCCGTATGGGTGATGGTAAGACCTGTAAGGGTCTTTACTTGATCGGTGTTGCCAGTAGGGGATCGGCCGTTATATATGGTGCCCTCCACTCTGCCACACAGTTAGTCAGTTACAATCAGATTATAGTAAAAAACCGCCTTCACCGGGGAAGGCGAGGACCTTTACTTCGTACTTCGCTCACTCCAGTGAGCTTCCATCCTGCCTTTCAGGCGATTGACCACCCCGCGACGGCCCAAGCCGAGGTTCGAGTCTCACAGGAGACGCCCTTGCGCTAGTCGCGTGAAAACCGCCCATTCAGGCCGAGCTACGCTCGCCAAAACAGCCCGAGCTGAGCTGTAAAGGCCCCGAGGGGCCCACAGCGAGATTTCATCCAAAAGAAAAAAGCCACACAGTTACTGGCAGAGTGGAGACGACCATTACGGATAACATAACTTTAAATTTATATTAAATAATCATTAAAATTTCGTTACGAGTTTGGATATTTTTTCTTTCAAGTGAAAGAAAAATTTGTTTTTGTGTTTGTCAAATATTTTATTCTAAGAAGAAAATTTTTGATTAATAAAAAATATGAATAATGCCAATTAAATGCGCTTTGTTATTATATCAATTCCGGCTTACGTCTAAGAATAAGACGACAAGATTATTACTAAATACTTGAACACGTCTTATCGTTTTCTCATTTTCCGAGCGCAAATAACCCTTTGGCTTGCGAATTCCACGTTTCTCCTGAGGGTTGACTTAATAGACTTGAACTTGAGTATCTCTTAATTAATTCCTAAGTAACGTCTTGGTAATACTAGCTTGTAGGTCATAACACGGACACGCGGTGCAATATGTTTAGGTTGGAGGGAGGTTCGTTTTTCACTCTTTTTCCGCTTTGAAAAGATGCTAATGTGCTAATGATAGGAAATATCAATATAATATTAAACGCAAGTTATAACCCCTTATAACTTTAGCAAAAATAACTTATATAATTACAAATAACAAGGGACATTTTATAATTGTTTAAAGCGCAGTACTCGCGTAACTCAAAGACAATATTAAGACACATGTTACTTTTAAAATTTATTCAACTAAGCAATTAAAGAATTAAAAATGTACATAATTTAAAAAAGTACATTAACAATTCCCGGGTGATTTTTTTTACAATTATTTTATTAATATATACGGTACCGACATTTCCCCTTACATTACTTACTTACAGTCACTAGAAACTAGCAAAAGTTCGGTTGGGTGTGTACTACCAGCTTAATAGTCTATATTTTGCTATTTAGAAGAGAATTGATTTTTTTGTTCATTATTGGTATCTCTTTAACAGCGTGAATAAAATTAAAAAAAAGCTTTATGCTGATGGCAACATATTGCTACTAGCTATTATAACTTTCATTTAATCATTATTAACTAATAATTCACAAACTAAGTTCAGTAAAATAAATAAAGGAAATATATTTTAGATATATATTCTGAACGAAATAACGCTATACAATGTATGTAATTACGAATCGGAATCTGCTCTTTCTTTGTTACTGATCCGTTTTTAAAAACGACATCTTAGTACCTTGATTGCAAAGATTTTAAAAATACCCATTCAAGTTAGAATGTGTAATTATTGTTATTACATGGTATGGGTAATAAACGCTCACGTATTAAACCTTAAAGAAACATTGTGTATTCGCACAGTTTTTCTTATTTCCGTGCAAAAGCCTTTGTTTCAAAGCTATAAGTTTCACCTATTTCTAAATAATAGGCTTTATCATGCAAAATAATTCCACACAAAGTTCTTCTAGAAGCTTTAGTAGATAATGGGAATTCTCTGTTTACTGGCCCATGTTAATTATGTGAACTACCGCTTATAAGTGCAATGTTATCTTGTAAGTGCAATGATTAAAGCTGGGCGTTAGTAGAACTAGACCCGTTATCGTTGAGTAGTGAGAATTGCTCCAATCGAAATGGATTCCTTATGTAGCCTACTTTCTTATTTTCGATGCGACCCTTGCAAAGCCTACTAGTCTATCAACCTTTCTTTGTTCGACTTTGGAATGAGGTCATCAATCCGGTGGAATTTTTCCGACCTTAAACTTGCTTTAACTTTTAGTAGTGCAATTTTTATGTGTAAACAATTGCGAATGTTTTCATTAGTTAAAGAAAACAATTTAATTTGTGTTTAATGTTGAATGTGGTAAATCACAGAACAGATTTTAATTTTTTTTTACTCATTAACTTTAATGACGTTGTGGTTTATGACATTTTCCTTTGAATAATTGTAATGTAGAGGGAGGGAAAACTTGCTGAGTTTTTTGCCCGTTCTTCTCAGAACAAGGCCTTCTGGTAGTTTTGCGAACGGATGGCGTAGTCTTGCTCTTTCGCGAATTTTCTAAACGTTTTTGACATTCATAAGCATGCCCTAAGACGCATCTAAACTGAATAAACGTATTTCGATTTGATTTGATTGAGTTAAAAATCAATAAGTAGTAAATAAATAAAATAAATAAAAATAAAAAAATAAAAAATAAAAAGCCTTTTATTTCCCAATTAATAAGGTACATTTCTTTATGTGGTTTTCTAAACCTTTCAAAACTTAACAAAATCTATTAGTAGATGAATAAATATTATGACTATATTTCTATCATGCTAAGTATTATTATTTACAGTTTTTGATATTCTAATTATTGTATGGGGGAGAACCCCTCTTCAGGTGAAGGCCTCTTCCAGCTTTTGCCAGTTTTCTCTATTTTGCGCTATGTGCTGCCATTTGGGGCCAGCTATATTTTTAATATCTTCTTCCCAGCGTGCGAAAGGTCGCCCTCTGCAGCGTTTTCCTTTAGGTCCTTTCCAGGTCGTAATTTTTTGTGTCCATCTGTCGTCTTTGAGCCTCGCAACATGCCCAGCCCACTTCCATTTTAGTTTTAGTGCGTGATTTAATGCATCTATTGTTTTTGTTGGATCTTATGTCAGCGTGTCTAATTTTTTGTATTTTGCTTATGTTCAGCATGCTGCCTCCATTCCCCTTTGGCACGTAATAATTTTTGTTTTTATTTGGTAAACTTCCACGTTTGGGACGCGTAGGTTAAACACGGGATCAGACATGAGTCCATGATTTTTTTTTAAGATTTATAGGCATATGTTCTTTTAAATAACTCTCTGTAACTCCAATATTTATTCCATGTTTTTTAATTCTCCTTTGTACTTCTAGTTCATTGCTACTTTGGCTGAAACCGACTTGTTTTCCTAGGTAGGCGTATTGCTCGACGTATTCTGTGTTGCGTCTGGGATTATGTCTTTCTTAGTGCCATTTGACATGAGTTTTTTTTGGAAATGTTTATTTCGAGGCCCACCTCCTAGTGTTACAAAGGTCTTCGATCAGCTTTAAGTTGAAACTGGATTCGAGAACAGCACTAGTCGTCTGCAAAGAGGTGACTCAATATTTCCCTTTATATATAAACCTTTTTACTCCAATCTAGTTCGCTAAGTGCAGTCTCTAGTATAGCAAAAATATCCTCGAAAGCGGATCCCTTGACGAACACCTCTTTAACAGGGAATATGGTCCAGTAGTTTCTAATTTGACTTGACTTGTGCACTTTTCGTATACCTTTTTATAACATCTATATATGACTTTTCTACATTTTACTTCCAGAATTTCCATATACTGTGGTGCGAGACTGTGTCGAAAGCTTTTTTAATCTATAATCTTTATAAAGGTCTTTAAACTCCTGTATTTCTTATTATTAACTCTAGTGTATGGATGTGGTCGACGTACTAAAACCCTTTCTGAAGCCAGCCTGTTCGACCGTTGTTTTATTTCTATATTACTAATTCTTGTTTATATTGTAAAAAGATTTTAACAATTGTAATAGTTATTCTTAATTCCAATTTTAATCTCCCTTTTATATAGCAAAATTATTTAAATTTACCATTCAATTTAAATTCATTATTATATTAAACAGTTTGTCAGTGGCTCATTATAAATTATTTTTTAATTGTTAACCTGTTAGGTTTGTTGGTTTTAGTTTTTATTTCTACAACTTCTTTACACTCTATTGAGCGATATTATTGTTAATAGTCTTATATAATTTCAGATTGCTTTAATTTACGGATACATTTTTTTAAAATTTTCAATTTAATGTTATTATTTTTCTTATTTAATTATAATTTTAATTTATTTTTGTAATTTTTAAGTTCCTTTTATTAAATATTTTTATGGTATTTTTTTATTAACTCTTTTTATAACTGTGTTAGCTAAAGAGCTTTAAGTTCATTTTTATAAGTTTTTATATGTTATTGAAGTATGCCTCCTGTTATTAATTTTTTATTCTGACAAAACCTCTTGTTTTTTCTTTTGCTGGTGTACCTTTCTTGTTACGAAGGTAAGTTGTATGATTTATTAATTTATTGTAATATTCTTGTACAGTAGGAATTTTGTAAAGTGGATTGGTTGTTATAATTTGTATTCTTTAATTTCTTTTTGTTTTAAGAGTTATATTATATTATACTTTCTTTTATTTTAATATTTTTAGTGGTTGTATTAAGTAACTTAGCTTAGGTTTTATATTGTAAAATGTTATTAGAATAAAATCATTTATTTTATATACATAAAAGTCCACCTTCTTTTTAATTTTTCTTAAAAATTTTAATTATAGCTAATTTTTTTTAGAGAAATAACAAGACTGCCCTCTAGTGTTTCTTTGTGTATCATTTTTTTATAACATTTCTTTTGGTATTTTAAAAATCTCCATAAAATTAATCTTTTTTATTTAATGGCTTTATATTTTAAAATAACATTTTTCTTCATCTGACTTCTTAACATAAATTTTATGATGGTAATTTTTGCCTGGTAAGTTAGATGAAGTAGAGCTACTGTTCTGAGAGTCCGATGTAACTTCCTAGTATTTTTGAGGTATTTCTTTATTATAAGCCTACTCGTATTTACTTCTCTAGTGTGGCAAAAATAAAGTTTTCGTACTCTTTATCTTGCTTGAGACAACTTCGCATAATCCGATATATTATTTTAGTTTTTAAAAGCTTCAGTAAGTTCTATTAGACGTTTATAGGAGATGTTCTAAATTTAGTTATGTAGATTTAATTAATTTTTAATATTGTTAATTTGGAATTAGGTTTGAAGATGGATGATTCTTTTGTAGTTAATGTTTAAAAAAAAAATAGATTTATCAATAAGTAGTAGTAAATAAAGCTTTGTTTTTCAATTCTACCAAAAGACAATATAATTTTATCAATCCAATAAACGTAAATATCAGCATACATATGCTGGCATTTTACTGTATATCTATGTAGATATATTAAGTGCGCAAAATCTTCTTACACGGTTGTTCCTTTCCATGACGTCGTATATATGACATCATTCACATTAATCTTAGGGGTAGAATTGTTTTTATGGCCTAATAAAACATTCTAATCACTTTATTAAAATTATTCGTTGATCCTATGAAAATTCTATTTACTAAGAACTTTCAAGATCCCATAAAAAATGTTATACATGAATGAAATTACTTTTTTAACCCCAAATTACTGTTTATGCATTAGTATTCCTACAAAACATATTGGCGGTTTTCATTTCTTCCTCTTTGAATTTTCTTCACAAAACATTCTTTCAAGAAACTAGAGCGAATAGTTTGGCCGAAGTAGCTGTGATATATGAAAATGAAAATTTTAGATCTCTTTGTTCCATTCTTACATTCCAAAACGATTCCAAATTGCGAGACGAGTATTGTATGATATGAATCCCTCCTAACTACTTGCAGAATAATTCGTATTCAAGTGCGTTCATTCAACTGCAAGTTAAAAGTGGAACAACGCAAGGAGCATCTCTCGAAAACCAGGTCCCGTCCTTTTGTGTAGATGTATGTTTTGGAGGTATCGTTAGGATAGCAGGGAGCCAATAACACACGGTTGTCATGGTAACGGAGCTTGTTCGGGAAGGGGCTTACCCCGAGGGAGAGAGGGTTCTGAGACCAGACTTTAAGACACCTCGGTAGTACAAGTTTTATGTTAGATTGCAGTTAAATAATGTTGTTACGAACAATGCTGACGGGGTCTACAGTTTTTGGTCACAGGTTATTTAGTGCTGTCCTTGGTGATTGTCGTTCCACCTTGAAAATTGCTGTATTGTATTATGATCTCACGAGATAATGAGACAAACAATTTACCCTAATTTGTATTATAATAATAAGGGCGTGTATCAAATAGAAATGTAAAAAAACATTCCATTTATAAATTGACAGGAGTGACCTACTTTAGAGAACATTCAAAGCGCTAAAGAGTAATATTCAAAAGCATCGTTTTATACTTTATTCAAAAGCTCTTAAGTGGATTAGAATTTGACGTAACAATAAACAGTAACACCGAATGTTATTAACTCAATTTTTCTTTCATGATTAAAAATAAAGATGTCTTAAATGTATTTCTTAAACGTCAAGGGACCACTTGTGACGAGCGAAGGCGGGGAAGTAGCGATAAAAGCTTATTCTTGTATTATTAAAACAGATTACTCCAGCGTAGCATAGGTTGATGAATCGTAGAATTAAACTCTATGGCAAAGCAGGAAGGGCTATAATGCATCAACACAGCCTAATGAATGTCTTCTCACGTGCTCGCTTTAACGAGTCTGATAAGGGCATGTCGGCCCAGATTTTTAATTAATAATTAAAATAAAAATCACAATTTATTACTAGCTTCCGTCTGCGGTTTCACTTGTAGTGGATTAAATTTATGTTATTTAGATACGATAGCTGTCGAGTTTTGGAAGAGTTGTTTGAAGTTTAATGAGTTCATTACTATTTCAAATTTATTAATTTCTAAAACACATATCACAAGAGAAAAGGATAGATATATAATAAAACACTAGCCCCCCCCCCCCCCCCCCCACCCCACCAACCTCTTAAAAAAAAAAAAAAAAAAAAAAAAAAAAAAGAAAAAAAAGAAAGGAGGGGGTAAAAAAAAAAAAAAAAAAAAAAAAAAAAAAAAAAAACTGATGGGGAAGAAAAACGGGGGAAAAAAAAAAAAAAAAAAAAAAAAAAAGGGGGGGGGGGGGGGGGGGGGGGGGGGGGGGGGGGGGGGGGGGGGGGGGGGGGGGGGAAAAAAAAAAAAAAAAAAAAAAAAAAAAAAAGGGGGGGGGGGGGCCCCCCACAAAAGGGGGGGGGGGGGGGGGGGGGGGGGGGGGGGGGGGCGGGCGCCAGCGGGGGGGGGGGGGGAAAAAAAAAAAAAAAAAGGGGGGGGCGGGGCGGCCTGGGGGGGCAACCACAACACGGACACAGATATATAATATATTAACATAAATAAAATACTATTAAAATCTGTCTAAAATTTATGAGTACGACATATAAAAGAGGATGATTTTAAAATCACTGGAAAGCCAAACACTGTGTTCTGAATTCGAAATACAAAATCATTCACTCATAACATGCTTTGACACATGGCGCGTCGTATTTAATGATTACCAGGCTTCTAATCATAATTATTACGATTCAATACACACCATTTAATTCGAAAATTTGATAATATATAAATAATGCTTAATGTAAATCGGTCTCACTGGTAACAAAGTAAAAGTATTTTGTCGGGCTGCATATCCTGACTTTTCGATCGAACTAAGAAAAATTAGTCTGTTGTTGAGGTAACTAGGTAAATCTTTGTATATTCACTCAGTTTACTTTTCATGTATCATTCATTCAGTGAACGCTACCTCCGCATGTTAACCAAATAATATTCTGATGATTGAATGATTCATAGATTTGATCCCACCTGATTAACCTAGTAATACAAGATATTCAAGTCGCATCTAATAAATAAAAAAAACATGATTCTATCTAAATGGGGCAGATAGTTTTTTTTGCTGTGTGCGTGTGTTTAATTCTTGCTAGTTTGAAATATTTATGTTCTACTATAATTAATGTGTATGTGTTTAAAATTTGTGAAGTCATACTTTCTCCATGTATATTTTAAGTATACATGTTGTTTTATGGCTTATAAAGAAATATACTAACCAATAAATAAACTACTAACGCTTAAGCTTGTGTCACTTTAGAAGTATCATTTTAGAATCCAATTTTTTTATTAAAATCGATGAGGCTAGAGAGGAAGGCTAAACAAACTGAGTTATGGTTGCCGGAGTACAGCGTCTGAACCGACAGCGGTTAACTTTAAATATTATTATTGTAATCGAATACTTAATATTGTATGTTGTTACAGGAGTGAAGCCTTTGCTACGACGTTATCTGCGTTATATGGGAAGTTACTGGTTGTGATGGGCATAGCTTTTCCAATGGCTGAAGTCATCTCTACATACATCCCACCATCGTTTTATGAGGTAATAATTGTTCCCATACAACCATGTTATGTTATTTAAGGAGAAAGGGTTCTAAAAATATAAGAATACAGAAAAAATCTAACATAAACTTCAAGAGAAATAGCCAACCCTACGAAAATTACATAGATGAAAACATCTTGCAAATGTATTTACATGTAAAAGTCGAAATTAAATATCAGTGGCGCTACAACCTCTTTAGATCATGGCCTCAGATTTCTGAATCTGTTTCATGATCATTTTTAAATCTTATAGGCAAGTAGGTGATCAGCCTCCAGTGCCTGACACACGCCGTCGACTTTTTGGGTCTAAGACATGTCGGTTTCCTCACGAAGTTTTCCTTCACCATTCGAGCAAATGTTAAATGCCCACATAGAAAGAAAGTCCATTGGTGCACAGCTGGGGATCGAACCTACGACCTTAGGTATGAGTGTCGCACGCTGAAGCCACTAGGCCAACACTGCACACTGAAATTGCTGATAAATAAAAAAAAATTAATTGTCATATAAGTAACACTTATATATCTCTCTATAACCAATTAAATTATTTAACCGAATATGTATTTACATATTCATTTTGTCTCGCGTAGCTTGTTTATATTTAAAAACTACTGTCTTGAACAAAAATCCCTCCCTATCTTTCATAAGACTTAAAAACAAGACGATATGGTGCTTGAAAATGTTTTGTGAAAAACACACTGAATTTACTACGTGAGCAGCGCAAACATGTTTTGTAAGAGTAATTAGTAACAAGCTGCACGATATGCCTTAATCCGCGGTCTTATTACGGCCAGTCGCATAAAATGCGATCGGTACTGCAGGATATCAATATTGAGTTCGTACCACGTTACTCGTGAGTAAGCTTCGCATACAATAATAATCCAGTAAACAACCCTATGTCTCTTGGTCTCAGATTGCATCGGTTTCTTTGATCAATTTTATTTCATAGACAAGTAGATCAGCCCTCTGTCTGACACGTCGTCGATTGTTTTTATGTTTTCCTTCACCGTACACACATAGGTACACAGCTGAGGATCGAATCTCAGCCATTAGAGACGCACCCTGAAGCTACTAGGCCAATACTGTTTTTTTTTCAGTCTGATATTGTATTGTTTTTCATACTACAACGGTTTTCGTCGTCAGATAACGTTATAATTATAATGTGTTTTTTTGTACCAATTATTAAGTCAAGGAAATTGGTCGCAATTGCTATCAGCATGGAAAATATAGATTATAAAGTTTGGAGAGAAAATGTCGAATTTGTTTTATAATTATAATAGCCATTTTAACTAGCGTTTTACTCCTGCCAATTTAATTCTAACTTCACCGAGCACCGAGGCTTTTCTCGATTACACCAGAGAGCCCTTGCTTCCATGTCGGTAAATTTTCAAATAATATTGTAAATAATGAATGACAATGTACATGAGTACAGAATTGTGCGATTAGTTACTTGCTTAGTTCCGTAATAACGCCACGGATAGTGCAGTCAAAATAGTAGGTAACATATGAAGGGCTTCTCATGCAGGTGTTGCAGTGTCGACATGCACCATATTGAAACTTGATTCAATTTACATTAGGATTCGTTTAGGTATGTGTTAGGAACGACGTCTACATTTTGGTAGATAGTATTGCACAACATGTTAATCTCATATTTTCGTACGTACTATTCTTAAATATGGCATATGGAAATAACAATAAGGGTCTGTTTCACAATGTATGGATAAAGTACCAAATAGCTATGCAACACATCAATTATTTGGAAGATAAATTGTGCTATTTGACATTCATCGGACTCATAACTTATGATGGACTTTATGTGACGAATAGCGCTATCTGACAGTCGTGAAACGCAACAATTGTGTTTATCCTACCAATAAGTAATAAATAGCTAATTTAGAACTTATGTAGAACTTATCCGTACATTGTGAAACAGACCCTAAATGTTATCATTATTAAATCATCCACTAACAAATTATGCTATTTTGTATCTAAAACAATAGTAATTGCTACGAGTTTTGAAGTTATACTTCTTTTGGCGCGTTAGGGAAAAATTTAAGTTACGATGCGCGCGCACACCGTCACAAAAAACCGACACCCTGAAGTTAGCCATAGGCAACATTTTAGTTTTTTTTTACTATTGATGCTGTATCTGTACGATATTTAGACAATGTTTCTTCTAGAATATTTGTATCATACTTTATATCATAAGCCTCTTGTAACACATGTCTACTGAACTCCAACCAATGGACGTAAATTAAATAGTAAATATCAGTATTATGTTTAAGTTGCATGCTAAATAAAAATGTCAATTTCTTTAACTATGTAGAAATATTTTTTTTGGCATATTTAAATAACCTTTATTTAACTAGACAATGCCTTATAAAACCTTCAATGTATTAAATACCTTTTTTCTATAATTTTGAAAATATTTTTATCTTGTAACGCTAAAGAAGTATAACTTCTAACGCGTATACATAAGTAAACACACGTTTTTTAGCGGGTCTTTCTCATAGAAAATCTACAGTTCGTTACTAGTAAGATATTGAAATCAAGCCAGGTCGAAATAGTGATGAATGACTATATGAAAATCTGTTATTCTCACAGAAAAATTGAAAGTGTATAAAAATATAGTCAGTAGCTAATCTATTTTTTTTTGTCCAGGGTTTCTACTTATACCTGTACATAGGTAGTATGGTGTTCCTGTTATATATGTACGCCGCGTTACTTCGAGACCGCTCCCGCAACGCACCTGACACCGTTGTGACCAGTGAGTATATTTTGTAAACATGTATTGAACTTGAAACCTGTCTAATCTTGCTTGAATTAATTATATGAAATTTTCTGATGCCGTGCGATATCTGTAATAATAAAAGCGATTGAACGCGCTAATATTAGGAACTACTAGTTCAAATTATATTTAAATATTAAATATTTTTGGGTTGGTTGGTTTCTCAAGGAAGGCTTAGATTGTTACACAATTTGGAAAGTCAATTTTAGTATATAAAGAATATATATTACTGGCTATTTTTGGTATTTTATTTGTAACTATAGTAATGTTAACTTCTAATAATAATGAGTTACGTCCACCGATTTTGTTTTATAATTAAGACAGGTCCGTTGATTTTGTGTCTTATTACTGTTTTAGCGTTAGTATTTATTTGTCAAACTGTGTTTATGCTGTAATAAAGAAACAGCAGTGATATTCGAATCGAACATAAACCGCCAATCCAGGCTCTAAAATACGTTTTGAAATGCCAGTTTTATCTTCGTTATTTGTAACTTTTAAAATAGTTTTATTATGTTTTATTTGTATTTCTCAAATACTGAAATTAGTCTCATAAATATATTTTGAATAAGGGGTTAAAATTAACGTTGATACTGTATTTATATAAACTAACCGACGATAAGCAATATATTTTGATCTTAAAAGTAAAATATAATGCATTTATAAAAATATAAATTTTAATTATATCCCCTCACGTTCTACAGTTTTCAGTTATTCGATACGACCCATGTTTCAATTAAACTTAAGTAAACTTCGTCTCGATTTTAAGTAAATTTTCTTCGTCTACCTGGCGAGATATAACTTTTGCGAAGCCATGTTGCTATTGAATATATACCGCAAGATACTGCGGTCTCGTCGCCATACTTAAATTTCGAGTTACATTGTTTGAATCTATGTTATCGTTTGCGGCCCAGATTTAATATTCTAAACTCGGTGTAAGCGTAATAAGTTCAAGAATATTTTGTCACTTTTATTTGGGAGACGAATTTGAGGCTTACTTTTATAAACAATTAAAATATTTGAGCAGTGTTGGCCTAGTGGCTTCAGCGTATGACGTTCATCTCTAAGGTCGCAGGTTGTGCATCTGTTTACTAAATATAGAAAGGCGTTGCAATTCGTTAATATTGTTTTCTTTATAGGCGATAATAATTCATGTGATACAAGATCAGATAATAATAGATATTGTTCATCTGTAAGTAAGAGCTTGTTTAACTGTGCCGTTTTTTATGAAACTGCCAATTAGGAAGCATCATTTTAATTATGAACACAATGTCGCTAACTTTGAATAACGATTTGTATTGGTCTGATAAACTCGAGCAAATTCAATTAAAAACGATCTAATTTCCGCCGGGGATTTGAGCGCCTTCATTAATAAATCTTGATTTATTTATTTACATTCTGTTTCTATTCTTGAAAACTATGACCTGTATTTAATGTTTCAGCTTCAGCCGTAACGTAAACCTTGATAACGAATTTCAAGGAACCGAGCATTTTTTCGAGATTTTCGGTATACGGAGGGAAGAGAAAAAAATCTAATTTAACCAGTTACAATAATTTATATTTATATAATAGATAGGTGACGATGGTGCGTTTAGTAACTGAGGCCACAATTTCGTACAGGCAATGTAATCTAAGAATAATGGCACACGTGTTAATACAATTAACTACACTTACACTTAAGTATGTTGTTGGTGTCTAAATATGAATATATTTCTTGAGAAGTAGAGAATCGATGTTGCGTTATAAAGAGTGATTTAATGTATGGGTTTTCTGTTAAACCAAACAAATTTGACGACTCACTGGTCTAGTGGTTAGTACCCCTGACTGCGAATCCATGGGTCCCGGGTTCGATCCCCGGCTGAGACGAACATCGATGTGATGAGCATTTGGTGTTGTGCTTAGGTCTTGGGTGTTTAAATATGTATTTATATGTATATCTATCTATAATATGTATGTATATCCGTTTCCTAGTACCCATAACACAAGTTTCACCAGCTTAGCATGGGACTAGGTCAATTGGTGTGAATTGTCTTTAAAAAAAAAAAATTAAATTCATTTTTACGTTATAGAGAGTTTACACTATTTGTAACTCATACGCATACTCTTTTAATATAGACAGACAGTATATAGCATTTGTCTGTGGTATTGTTATGTATGCTTGATTTGTATTTATAATTTTTAACTAAAATCTACGATATCAGATAATAATAATGTAATATATATCTGCATTAATATAAAATGTATGTATTATAATATATAATAACTGCTTTAGTTCTTATTTCGACACACAACTAAAGTAAAGGGGTGTCTGGCAGGGGGTAGCAACTGTCATAAGTGTCCGGCAATGGATGGCGAGATTTCCAAAGTTATCCCTAATAAAATAGAAAAAAAATTGAGCTTTATACTTTAACGAATTTTACTACCCAAGTAACCACAACCCAAACTCTATAGTCCCTGGTCGCCCTTCACTGTATAGGGGACATGCACAGAACAACTTTCAGCTATTATAAAGTATCGAAGGTCTGGCCGTCGTGGGCTGCTAGGCTATATTTTAAGTTATCTAGTTGGTTATGTCATACATATTAAAATTTACCCTAATACTTTTAGCTCCAAAATTTTGACTGAATATTTAATTTAAATCATATCAAATTTCAAAAACTATCAATATGATTCCCTTTTGTACAAAAACTATCTAGAAACGTAATTTTATTAACACACAGAATCCGACTCAAGCTCATCACAATCAGAATCAGATTCCTGTTCATCAAGAACAGAGCGGAGTACTGCGACCGCAGCCCACGTCCCACCGCAGTACTTAGGCAAGCGACTCTCTTTGGGCTTCGCGCTCACATCGAGAACACACCACTATGGCAGCTTCTACTTGAGAATGGGTGCAGTTGGTATGTATTTATTTATTCGTAAGGTAACAAATAAGGAAAGCAACAGGCGGACTGATTTCTAACCTAATCTCTTTAGGAAAAAATAAATACTAGGGGAAAGTGCAACTTAAATGTTCGTTTATCTATTCGCGCTGTTTCTAGAACATCAATTAACGGGTCTTTATTAACAAAAGTTTCATCCATCTTAAGAATATTTGCAGTGCAAATTGAAATCAAATAAACAGTACAGGTACACTGCCACAGAGACCAAACTTTCTTAATTTGTTTATTTTCTATTTATCAACTTTCAATTATGATTACTATTACTATGTTGGTTAAGAATATTGTAAATATATTGGTATGTTGGACATAAATAGATATATAACTATAATAAACAATAATGTCATGGTAAAAATTTTATACTGTTAATTTAGAGACATGCTTAGTTTTTTTATATATTCGGGGTAAAACTTATAAACGGCTAAAACTAATAATGTGAAAAATTATTACAACTTATATAGATTATTTATTAGATATTGCACACGCTTTAGGTATAATGAAAAGGTAATATATAAAATTCTCGTGTCACAATGTTCGTTCCCATACTCCTCCAAACGGCTCGACCGATTCTTATGAAACTTTTTATGTGTATTCAGTAAGTCTGAGAATCAGCTATTATCAATTAAGGCTATTTTCAATCCCCTAAGTGATAAGGGGTGTCCAACCCAAAAAATTTTTTTTTTGGATTATATAAAAATTAAATTTTCGCCCCTCTCTCTACGATCAACCCCTATTTTTTAGTATACTAAGTAGATAGTTATTTTTATTGAACTAAAAAAATGATTTCTTGAAATAATATACATGGCAAAACAACGTTTGCCGGGCTAGTAGAAAATATAAAAAGAAAACTATCAAAGGTTAAATTCACTTTGTAAGAACATATAATGAAATATTAAGTTTTTAACAATGCCGAGAGGAAAAACAAGTACCAACTATTCCAGTCGACCGAATTGTTAATCCGGGCGGACACTTCACAAACTTTTCAGTTTAATCTTCTTTCCACGAAATACGTTTAGTCGCACAGTTTGACATCGAATTTATTTTGTTTAACTTGTTACTGAAAGTTGCAAAGCAAAACGAAAACACGTTTAATCCTTAAAACACAATTCCGTTGCATAAAATAATTGTAGTTATTGCTGTGTTTGCAGGTTTACGGGTTGGTTTAATAACACTGTTCAAAAACCTTACGCATTTAATGCTATTTTTATCAATGAACGTTTGTGAGTAATTTCAAAGGAATTCTTTAAAGCAGGCATGGGGTCATGTCGCCGGAGAGATGCCACATGCCACTTCCTCCATAAATAGTCAAAGCTTAATGAGATATTTTTTGTTATCGGCAGTAGGTAATAAGATCTCTGTGCCCTGCAAAGCAAATTGATTATTGCAACCGGGTGATTCGCATTTTGCGTTTCCAACTAACTGGGGGGATTTTTTGACTCTCAAACCCTCGGTCGTGTGTTTGATTCTCGGCTGTGCATAGATAGATTTTTATACTTGGTCATACGATTACGACGCTGTGACTCGTCTTGAAGCACTAGGCCAACTATAAGATATTAAGCGATTATTATAACTTATTACAGCTTTTGGCATCGGATCTATGATCTACTCGGGATTAGAGTTTGGCCAATACTGGGAACTGGAGAGAAACACGAATTGTCACAACGTCCTCCTCGCTCTCACTCCTGCTACTAGAATGGCCTTCATCTTCATACAGATGTATTTCATCTTTCTCAACAATGAGGTAAGTTTTATTTGTAGACAAACATCCGAGTTCATTCACGTTATCAAAGGCGATTTCTAAACATTTATATCATTTAACATTTATATTATTAATATGTAGAAACGAACCAAAATCAGTTTACCGTTTAACCTAAAGAACCTTTTCATCTCAGCGAAGGCAAAACTTGACAGAAAGAACAGTTATAAATAGATTTTTTTTTTTTTTTAAAGAGCGCATCGTGCAATCAGTCTTCTGACTATGAGCAAATGAGTTGTAGGATAGTAGATATTCCCATTAGGAATATACATATAATTTATATAAATAGATTACATCCAAGATTTACTATACATTAGTAATAATTTTTTAAATTGTATTTGATTTAACTAGTTGCACTGGGATCAATTTTTTTAAGTCTAGACTAAGTCGAAGTTATTACGCATGAATTATATACAAATAATATGGCTATCAACTGGTGCTATTATATGAAAATAGGATTTAAAACAAATGCTGTTTTTGTGTTTTTGCAGCTATCATCAAATGATTTCTTATCTCTATTATAAATCTTCTAAGATTGTTATCTCTTAATTGCTCGATCGTTTGCTCGAGTGTTTTGTATAAGAATTAACTTACTAAGGTTGGGGGAACTAAGGAATAAGTGATATCAAATGAAGCTGAAGAAAGGTCGATTATATAAATTAATCTTAATATATATTATTTATATCATGTATAAATCAATATTTCCAATCTTTAGAAATGTAAACTGTGTACTGTTAACACAGTTTAAATTGGTTATAAACATTTTATTATTACTCTAACTTCTTTAGTACTATTGATCAGAACCCAATCAAAGGCCTCCTCCAGTTGTCCAAATTTCTTTATCCATGTCTTCTCCATTCGCTTCATGCTAACGCTTCTATCTTCTATCAACTTTTTCTAGGGTGCCCCTTCTTCTCCTTTCTTTAGTCTTAAACAGCACAAATTGATTTCAGATGAAAGTATACAAGCACAAAATAGCGGCGCGATTTGGTTTAATGCATATGGTGGGAACAAATTTAAGCGTTTGGCTGAATGTCCTCGTGCAAGAGACGAAACACGAGATACTAACGTTCTACGACCCCGAAAATAAGACTATTGGCTTATCACATAGACTAGGTAAGTTATATGATATATTACCGGCGGTCCGCGTTTAGGAGGCGGAGCTGGAGGCTCATCTGATGTTAAGTGACACCGCCCATGGACACTGACATTGCCAGGAGGCTTGCAAGTGCGTTGTCGGCCTTTAAGATATGGTACGCTCTATTCTTGAAGGACCCTAAGTCGAATTGTTTCGGAAATACTTCAGTGGGCAGCTGGTTCCATATAGTGGTGGTTCGCGGCAAAAATTGCCTAAAACACTCAGTTGTGGAACGACGGCGATTTTCTTTCGACCTCCTGAGTTTAAAAAAAAAAATGTCGTAATAGACCTTGAAAATTAAATAATCGTATTAAATAGGGTATTTATTTGGGTAAGGTAATATGATGTTTTTTAAATACCTTCGCAAATGCAATTTAGAACAAAATTGAATACCATAAAAAAGTTGTATATATTTTTTCTAACTGTGGAAGAAGAATAATTTCGTCATTATGTTCGCGTAACTTTAATCGTTTACTGCACGCAATGGAAGCATTATGCAGCCTTTAGATAAATAGCCAACAAGAAGTAGTTCCTGAGATTCGCGGAGTCACCAAACAAATATACTCTTCAGCTTATTGATTTGCCTGACGTTAGTATATTGAATTGGTATGACGTAAAAGTTTTATAATATAGCTTAAAACGTAATCTCTTAAAACAGACCAAATACACTAAAAAGCATATATTGTGAGAATGTTTGCGAAGGACGAAACGTTTGTGCGCTCCGTTCGATTGTGATTGGTCAAACGCATTCACACGAAACACGATGCGTCATTGCGTTTGGCCAGTCAGAATTGAACGCAATTCATCTTGCTTTACGCTTTACATTCTCACCCTCCTAGGGAATCTTCTGTCGGTGCCAATAAATTGTTATTTATTTTGTTTAATAAAAAACAACAAAATCTTTAATATAAAAATAAATTATTCAATTCATGATTCTTGCAGGTCAAATGAAACTGTATTAGTTTTTTTATACATTTGTCTTTACTAAGACATCATGGAACATTACGATCTAGCCTAATTTAAGACTAATAAGTAATTTAAGTCTAACCTAATTTACTAAAAAGGATTTTTAACATAAGCAAGTGTCCAATAACACTACTTACAGTCTCTATTAAAGGAAAGACACTCTGTTCTTGTGTTCTATTTTTCACACACTGTTTAGCACTTAACGTGCACTAACACAAATTCACTAGTTCAAACGGTTTTGTCCTTTTCAATCTTCTCACTAGGTCCGTGGTGTCAAGGAGTAGAATAGCCTCGACATTCACGTGATGGTGGAGCCTATGTTCGTGGGCTCCTTATCTCTCATCCTTATCGTATTAGTAGTAGAAAAATAATTTAAAGAATTTTAATAGTCATAGTTATGTTTCCATTTTGTGGGATAAAACAAAAGCTTTTTTTATCCTTTGTTAACGTTTGTATTATAGTAAAAAGGTACAATATCTGTAGGAATCCTCGTTAAAACTCGCGTGACATGCCAGCATTATTATTTTAATTGTTTTCAAACACGTCACATTTTTGTTATATAATATTTACAAACGGTGAAATGGTAGTTTCGATAAAACTAATTCTGTGGCTGGGCATAATTTCCTTTGTTCATTTAATCGAATTAATTATGCAGTGACGGGTGCGGTCTCATCGGGATGTAGTCACAAAGCCGTTAGCTCATTTGATTTATCAGTATAAATGATACCGGTTTAATTGTTACCCACTAGATTGTCGTACTTAATGGGAAATCATTCATTGAGTGCCACCATTTCGATAAATTACTTTTAAAAAGCTAAAAGCTTTTCACTTATACAGTACATAGTCTCGGAAGGTGAATAAATTGGGAAGCAACTTTTCGACGGTGAAAACAAAAGGGATTTCATCGGAGCGAACCTCATCCTTTATGCACTATCCTGACCCGTAATTTGTTTTACATTCGAAAATTGGCTCCAATTTATTCGGATATATGTACCTATCGACTTAGCTTTTTGACTTGGGTGGATATTTAATTCTCGTAACCCTTGTCAAGTGTTCGTGGATTAATGCCGATACCATTCCGATGTGACCCCGGAAGGCATCTCGACCTAAATTCTAGTGATCGGTGACAGATAATCGAGTCATCGTGTTGCCTCATTTCGAAATAATTGACTTACATTTATCGGGAGGCTCGTAATTTTCAACTGACAATTATAAATTTATACTTAGTAGATAAAAGTTAATAAAAATTTTATAAGTTTATATTTATTTTATTTACTTTGCAGTTTTGTATGTTCATTTAATGTTAAATTTTAGTCATTCAATGTTAGTTCTTTCAAGTTAGTATTTACTAATAATTTCCAAATGTGAAATTAATCAACGGCTATTATTATGAAATAATCTAACTTAGCATAAATATTTTCCAGCATTCCAGAAGGCATTTGCGTCTCTAGCAACAGAAGTCCCGCCATCGCACCCTGCGGCAGCCCACCTCCGTGTTCCTCGCGGACTCAAAGGCCCTCATCACATCTTCGAATGTCGTCGGACTAACATTATGGGTTCTCTAGTCCAAGACGCTTCACCATTCCTCTTTCCATGTACTATCGAATACTCCCTAATCTGTGCGGCCATTTTATACGTCATGTGGAAAAATATATCCAAATACCCATCGAAAGACGTGGCCGAAGCGATCGCCAAAGCCCGGATTTTAGAAGGATTAGCGTACAAAAAGTCTCCACATTTGTACAGTGTGGACTGTGCAAGGGCGCACAAAGGTCTCTTCTTCGGAATTTTTGTATTAGTTTTAACCATTATATCCCTCATTCTGTTTTTTGTTCTGGTATCAAAGAAGGATTACGCAACCCTAGCGGTGGTAGAAGTGAATCTTTGCGAATTGGGATTGTATGCGATGACCACTATAGCTAGTTTGGCGGGAATGGTATGCGTCAGAAATCTCAAGTACGACGGCAATCGAAATCTCGAATTGGACAATATACTCCTCGTCGGGGCACAAACAGGTATGTTCATTTACGGTACATTCACAATCATCGGTGGTCATTTCACCATCGAGAAGAACACAATTCTCATATTGGTGACGGCCCTATCGTCGCTAGTGCAAACGACGTGCCAGACCATGTTCATCCTTGACGCGAGTCGGAGATCGGCAAAAACTCCCGAACAGTTGCGGAAAAAACCGGGAAGGGAGATTGTCACGTTCCTATTGGTGACGAATCTTGCCATGTGGGCCATAAATACTCTAGAGAAGTCGAGGGCGGAATCTCACCCGGTGCAACTGCATTTCTACGGTCTATGGGCTTGGACGATAATAACGCACGTGTCTATGCCCCTCGCGATCTTCTACAGATTCCACTCGACGGTTTGTCTATGCGAGATTTGGAAGCGAGCGTATAAAATGAAACCGGCCTATATGTAGCACATTGAAGTTAATGGTCGCGTTGGTAAAAAGCGAATACTTTAAAAGTACGACTCGCATAGATTAGTGCCATATTCAACTCTCTCTGTATTAAATTTTAGCTAAGTTTCACTTCATGTCTCCGAGTGCACTTATATTTGTTCCGAAGTTATCGCTATGTTAAGTTGTGCGTAGATGTATAATGTGTTATTTATTTGGTAGCTTTATTAGACGCTTTAATAGGAATTCATGTTGTTAGTCTCAGTTTGCATTTAGAACGGGTTGGATTTTAATTTTAGCGTTTAGGATTTTATACAGGCTGCTTGAACGGTAATTTCACTTTTAAAATATCATCAATATATCAAGTCAAGAATATTATTACCACCGGGGCTTTCTGATAGAGGTCGCTTTTAAGCGGCCGTGTTTTGCCCTCCTAATTATTTTAATAACCTAAATAAATAATGGATTGTCTTTGCACTGCTGATTATTTAAATTTAATACGAATACTCTCATATAACTTTCATACATAGAAAGTATAGTTTTCCTCTTTATACGTGTAAGCAGCAATATTATTATATTCTTAAGTAGTCTAAGCAGCCTGTTTATTGTTATAATATTAAGCGATTAAACATTTTCTTGTGTTCATATCTCATGTTACACATTAGATCTAGAACATTCCACGTCACTCATAATCCGCATTTTTCACACTGATTCAAAGGAAATGTCTTCCAATAGGTTATATTTTTATATAGGAACGTTGTCCACTGTATTTTTGTGATACAGAATGCGCCATTTGATATGTAATAGATGAAAACGTAGTTAACGGTTACTATAAGGTTCATCGAGTTGACGAAAACGGTCGCGTCTAAAGCATACTTATTCAGTGAAAATTGAACTTTGTTTTTTTTTTTATACGTATGCGTAGTTCGTCTATAATTAAAGACATCACTTGAAAAACGATTTAAATATAAAGACAGATAAAAGTTAAAAATTATTGAAATACGCGATAGTTTTCGTATATTCGATAGAACTTTACTAGCCCCATAGAACTTGAGTGTCTAACCTCTGTTGAAAACATAACACATATGCCAAATACACAACGAATTAAACACTTTAAATTTCAATGCCTTGCGCCAAGTATGAGGGCATATTAAATCCAAATATTTGTATAATTGTGCTATTTTTATAAGAAATACATAAAGTATTTATAAACTGTATTAAAAAATACCTTTTAAAGGGGTTAGGCGCTCGAGATAGCGCCATCTATTACCGAATTTCGACACTGTATGGAATTTGTTTAAATTTATTTAATCCAATGGGAACAATAAATATACGACCTAATTTTGTAACAACTTTGATACACCAATATTTTATTAAGTTTTTTAATATTTTGAATTTGAGAACATTTTAGCGGTATTTGAAACTTTGTAGTGTATTTTGGATAAAATTTTAAACATAGCAATAAAATAATATGGACCCAGTAGTTAGTAAATGTAACACCAAAGTTTTATATTGGTAATTTTGGAGCTTATTATACCAATAAATAATTTTACCGCTAGGGATTCATATTTTTGATAGATTTAGGCGTAAAGTCCAAAGTATCAGACACCAATCTTCTCTAAACGTTAGACCTATAGTGACCTTAACAAAAAGTTCGGGAAAAATAATTTTTACTGGTATTCTAGATTTTATTATTGCTCAAATCTATGGAAAAAAAATTTCGTATAAACGTTTTTCGCAATAAATATCGATATTTCATAGAACGCTTTTTAAAAACTGCTTTAATATGCTAACTTTATTCATACTCAAATTCCTAATGTTTGGTCCTTATCAGTGTCGTGAATAATACAAATGAATAAAAGAGACAAAATAAGGAACGATGAGTCTTTTGAATAAGTTAGATTTATATAAGTATATGCTTAAATACTCTGAGATTCAATACTCAATGTAAAATGTAGTTTTTAATATATTTAAAGTAACTATTTAATCGCTATTCGTATAGGCGTTTTAAATTGTACTGTAGCCTTAAAAGATAATAAATGATCTTTTATTGTTTTGTTTATTTAAAATTATGATTGTTGTTTTGTGTCAGTTTTGTATTTCCAATTTTAACATACAACATATTGGACTTATTTACCCGGATTCTTTAATTACGATACCAGTTGTAATTGCAATAAGTTGGTATAGCGAACAGCAGCTTTAGTTAACCATAAGTTTGACAAGGTTTTAACCGCTAACGTACAAAGGTCTGTGTTATATGTATGAACATTCTTAGTATTTCACGTAACCTTCAGAGGGCGCTTTGAGATTTTACATAAAAATTGTTGAACCATTTGAATTTTACAATAGCGTTTAATGCATAGCCAAACTTATAGTATACCTACCTCTACACCCTTAGCACAAACTATAGTTGCATATAATCGTATTAACAATAGGTTTTTGTATGGAAAATAGCTCAACGCTCCGTGAGTGTTTTTGGAACTAAATATACCCACACACATTGGTCGAATAGCATTCGTGTGTTAAACAAAGCTATAAGTTTTCAGTTTCATAAGCTGATATTGCGGTTTACGAATTCGTGTATAATAATACATTAAACAACGAAAAGTCGTATACCTGGTATACGTGTTGCGCCATGACGGCTACCACCTTTGATTAATATAATGGTAAATCCAGCAAAACGATTTGAGGAAGAAAAAATTATGTTTTGAAGTTTGGGAGTGTGGTAGAGTTGTCATTTGAAGAAAAATTGAACTGACAGCCAACTTCCACTAACGTAGAGGTTCCACTAACAAAAGTTCGTGATAAAACTATCGTAAAGTTTGTGCTAGGAGAACTGTTAAATTCAACAGAAAACCCCACAACTCGTACTAATTATAACTGGTATCTTAAAGAACCCCTTATCATACGAATGGCAGATTGACACTGTACATAATTTGTGAAGAATTTTCACATTTTAATCAAACGATATTTATAATACCATTTTTGAAGATATTTACACTAATTTTGTTTGAAATGAAGTAATAGTGATACTAGAATAATGTTTTGAATTGTATTTGTACACTATTTATTTGTTTAGGTGATAATGTGAATAGCTATTAAGTGTCTTTGATGTTTAACGTTTATAAATTTTCATATAATTATTCTACGCATTTGTGAAATTTCTTGAAAATATTCTTAAAATAGATACAACTATGCAAAAGAACGATAATAAATCTTAATAAATTTATGTTGCTTTATTCTCCTGTATCACATCTGTAAATCCCTTATTTTAAAATTGCCAGAATCTTATAGGAAAATGTTTTATTAGAACTAGATGCGACATCTATGAATCAATTCCAAAAACTAGTTCCGTGTGGGCGCTACCGTTTATGTGAAGCTTGATTAATTATTTTGTAACGAGGCGTATTAATTAAAAGTAATATAACTTTCAATGACATTTTTTCTAATTAATCGAGACAGATACCGGTTCCTTTAATCAGTATCTTTCTTTGGTAACAAACCCACTACTTGGAACTACGATAATTGTTATCTCAGAATTCAATCACAGTACATTCTCTTTCTCAGAGTTGTTTAATACAAGCAGATAATTTTTTTAAAGAAAATTCTGAAATTAGTTTCTAACTACAACAACAACAACACATTAACTATTTATTAATTAATTAAAATGATAGTCGAAAGAATGGAGTGCCCCTATTTACGACACTGCTCCGACATCTCCGCAGGGCTTTGTACCTGATAGTTTTTATTTAACTACTTTTTCCTTATTTTTACTAATTCTCTACCATAGATCTTAAGAAACTATTGTTACTAACTCACTAATCAATCAATGGACTGTATTTGTCTGATTAATAAAAATTATTATTATTATTATTAACACAATATTAATATTTATATGGCAAAGTGTATAGTCGAAATAAAAAATAAATTGCAATAGCTTCATGTTCGATTGAATTTTAGAAGGCATTAAATCTTTAAGTAGGTACCTATAAACAATGCCTTTGATAAAATTGATGATATAAAAATGAAAGAAAGATCTTTACCTCATTATGGTAATCTGTTAATTATTTATTATTGTCATATTGAAAAAAAGTGTTATGCTTAGTACAAGCTGCGTTGGTATCAATCTCTTAATATTTTCCGTTTCACGAATCGAAACAAGTTTCGTATTCCAAAGTTTCTCTTTAAGACTATCAACGAATGATCTGGTGCACGCGGGCCTTGACAGCTGATAAATGGTTTACTATGCTAATCCATGCTTTTGTTACAGCCGGCTATTCTAATAAGAATCACATTCCCACGAGGCCTTTAACTTTTCCGCACTCAATTTATATATGCTATCATATTATTATTGCCTGATACCTTTGAGAGATTGATAATGCCCTATTGTAAAGTTTAAAAAAAATCTTATTCTTTGATAATAAAGTTATGTTCATATGAGATTAAACTTATGCAGTAGATTGCCTGAAAAGAAGTTGTTTGCTTTTGAATTTTCCATAGCCATAATAACTTATTACTTATTTAATTTATTATATATTATATAATTAATATTAATTTATTAGTTATTTTTTTCATCGGAAATAGCAATTGTTTCTGTATATTCACTATTTTAGACACAAGATTGAAACGTGTAAATGACGATTGGCGCCATAACTCGCGCATGCGCTGCAGTGATCATGGCCACAGATAAGTGAAATTCGAAATATGTCAAGCAATAGTGAAACTTTCTTGGTTTGATAACATTGTTTTGTCAACATAAAATTTGGACTGTTTGATAAATGAAAAATGGAACTTCAATAAATAAATACAAAATAATCTGAAATGAAATTCTTATCAGGAATATTACTGCGTTTGTTATTAAAGAGAAGTAGTCCGTCTATTTTAAGGGCAAACCGGCAGGCGGCTCACCTTGTTAGTATACCGCCGCCAATGGACACTTACACTGCCAGAGGGCTTTTAAGGCTACGCTCTTTTCTTGAAGGACCTTAAGTCAAATTGTTTCGGACTTACTTCAGCAGGCA